ATGCGGTTTTGTGTTGATGTATCATGTCCCTTCATATGAGTGTCCAGAAATTCCTTTCGTTAACCAATAGGCGGCCGCAATCGAACTTTCTCTGATAGCTTTGATCTGCAAGCGAATAGAGTCTATGAAGAGCCTGTCAGACATTTGCTCAGTAGTCGACCGGCTGAAGTTGCATGGCGCAATTTTGAACTTTGAGTTCAAGGCCCACAAACGCACGGCGAATGCAGCAGTTGTCAGTGTCCTCTATTGGGCTGCTAGGTCGACCAATGATTGCAGATGACAAGTGACAGGTATTTGTACCGTTGGTTGCAAAAGCAAATCATCAATCCATCCCGTAAGACAAGCCACCGCTCGGGGCCGAACAAAGAGCTAATCCTTGGAAGCTGGGGTTTCCTGTTGTCAGCCAGTGACAGTGACCCGCCCAATGCTATAAGTCCACGTTGGCTACCGTAGGATATGCGGATAGAACAGGTGTCTTGAATGGAAGGCATTTGATTCTTGCGAGAAGCCTTGCTGACTCCCGCCGACGTTGGCATTGGGCTCGTCGATGGTCGTCCTAGGAGACGAAGGATGAGCTTGCTGCGATCCTCGGCACAGCACCACAACGGACAAATTATGTGACGGGCGTCTGGTCGGGAAACGACTTGGTTGGCTGTGGTTGAATACCGGCCGGTGTTCCTCCAAGGACGGGCGGCGGAGAGGAGGATTGCAGGTTGCAGATTGCATATGGCGGGACCCTCATGCATTCGGAACCCTGGCAAGCAGACCGTTTTGCCACAGAACCCCCAATTTCCACTGGACAGATGGGCATCTTGCTTTTGGGCGTTGAGACACTTGACCCTCCCGTCACCCCCCATGCCACTTTTCCCCCCAGGGTCTTCCTCTTGGTTGATGCGGCGACGAGGACAACAAACGGCCCGCGGTGACGCAGGGACGCATTCTTGGAGCTCCGAACTGCTGCTGGACCGTGATGGCGGGCGCGGCAGTGTCCCAATTGGCCCCAAACGGAAACGAAAGACGCGTCGAATAGCAGCGAGCTTGGCAAACGCGGGAAGCTCCTTTAACGGTTGGTTGCCCCTCAATTTGGGACGAGTCGCGGCAGAGTTTGGAACGAATTACGGAGTGTAGAGAGGGACGAGAAGATGGGATGCAGCAACGCGAATGTAGCTGACTGAGGGACGCCCGTGGAGCATATACGCGTGCGACGGCTGCAACAACCCGAAACTCGATCTTGGTCGCTGGGACCTGGGACCTGGGACCTGGGACCTGGGCGAGTCGTGCTTGTTCGGTTGTACGGAAAGAGTACGAATTAAGTTGATGTCAACCTAGCCGTGCTAGCCAAGCTATCCACACATGTGAGGCGTCGACACGAGATGCTAGATGATGTTGGCGGCCGACGCCTTGTACGTATTGGAGAGATCGAGTAGACCGATACACCTGTCTTTAATCTAGATGCAAAGTAAGCACAGATGGTAGATATTTGTATCAGTATCAGGATATTTGGGTGTTCGTAATGGTGGACAGCAGAATCTTGGGTAAATGAGAGAACCCGCTGCCGCAGATCGCGCTTCGACGGCCAGGATCCGAGTTTCTCTGGAACCTTCGTAGGGATAGCGGGAGGAGATGTGTACCACACACAGTACGGAGTATTCAGACTTAGGGCAAGCCATAGACTTGGGTCGTTCGGTTGGTGGACGGAATTGGTGCCGAGTTGCTGAACTGCTTGACAGAGTATTGGTATCCGCAAGGTATTCCGTACTCGATATGATCTGGAGAGACTGAGATGCGATGGGTTCGAGGTATCCGTACTCCGTGTAAAGTAAGGTATCCACTTGGCCCATGAGATTTGCCTCATTTTGTCTTTGTCGAGGTTATTTAGCGGCCATTTGTCCAAGGGGCTCAAGGAAGAGGGGAATTGGGGAATAGGAGGGGGTCCAAAGCACGCTATTAGACTCGACGGGTTCCATCATTTGATCACACCGACCTGGTGGTTTTGAGAGTTCCTTCCCTGGGAATGCGGTGTGAGGTACGAACCGCCCCGCTGCCATGGGTACCTACCTTGGGTACTTGCGAAGTGAGGCAGGTACTACGGAGTAAGTATCTTGGATACCCAGGTATCGTTGCTCTTGCCTCTCCTCCCGGAATACCAGGTGGTGATAACATCAACAGATGGAAGGAGAGAGGCACCAAGGTTCTCCTGCTCTCTTTCCTGCCTAACCTCAAGATACAAAGCATCTGTACTAAGGTACGCAGCTTTCAATGGCAAGGTACTAATCGATACACGCGTCTAATGAGCAACTGGCGCAATTCGTGCAATCAGCAGGTGATCCCTGTTGGAGCGGTCCCCCGACCTCCCTTTCTTTCGCTCTTGCCAAAATGTGAGTGAGGGGCCGGCGGGCACTGCACCGACCACCACCCTTTTTTTTTTTTTCCTTCTCTCTCTTCCTCGCTCGCATTCATGGCCCAGGGACTCCATCATCACCCGCCGCCGCATTTTTGTTTTTCTCCCCCCCATTTCGACTCGGATGGATGTTTCCCCCCCGTCATTTGCCCAAGTTTGGCCGCTAGAACGGTCCTGCGGAAATGTGCTGCAGCTGCACGGAGTAGCGCATGCAAAGTGGTGTGTGTTCCTGAACCGCACATGGTACCTTACCTTACCTCACGGATAAACTCTTTCGGCTCCTCCCCTCAATCAACTGGACATTGGTGCTCACTTAGTCTACCAACATTGGTCCCGTTTCCCGCACTATTGCTGCATCGCCTTGCCTTAGATGTTACCAGGCCCCCTCAGGTCAGTCGCGAGGTGCATGACAGATCCTCTCCTCAGAGGATGGCCAGGAGTTTGGTTGATGATTACCGCTACTACCTATGTACTTAAGAATAGTATAGATTGTTTGTTTGTGTGTGCCTGACATCGCCTTGGGCATCTTGTGCCTCTGCGCCATAAGGTAAGGTACTGATACCTTAACAATAAACTAAATGGACGGGACTCTTTGAGTGACCTCGCACTCCAGACTCCAGAGTTCCCCCCCGTTTGGGCTAACCTCCCTCAGGTAACCAGGAAGTACCTTACCTGCTGTCTCTTTCTCACTCCTCCGTTGCCGTCTACCTCAAATGACAATCCACTTCTCTGCCCGCCTCTCCTCCACATTGATGCACCGCTTCTCATTCGCATCTTCGTACCACTTTGACGGGGGTTCAACAAACATCGAGGAAGGACAAAAAAAAAGAAGACAAAAATCTCTAGAGGCTCCAGTGCTCTCATCTCTAGTGCTCGTTCCTGCCTCTTCCCCATCCACTGCACGCTCCACCACCCACCCTGGTCGTGACCTGCCCGCCCGCCTACCACCAGTCCACTGTCCACCACACTGACAACTTAAGCGGCGGGTCCTTCTTTCTCGAACAAAAACAACCAGTACTCCATAGACACACGCAGCCAGCCAGCCAGAGAGAAACAGAGCCCGGCCCATTCGCAGTAGTCGTCGTCGTCCTCTCGTCTCTGCACCGGCACTCTCCAACCTCACTCCTACCTTACCGTAGGTCGAGTTTGGTGTTTTACGCCTTCCGTGCCCGCCTCTTTTCGACCAACGCCAATCCTCCCATCTTCAAATTCCTGTCCCTTCTGTCACACCAACATCGCCGACCTCCATTCATCCGCCCTTTATCGTCCTGTGCCTGTCCTGTGTTGTCCCGGAATGAGGTAGCTTCTTCAATGCCCTCAGCTCCCTGACAGGACTGAGCTCGCCCGCATCGCATCGCATCGCATCGCGAACCCGAATCTCAGCGCCGTTGTGTCGACAAGCCCGACTTGATTCGACATTCTCCCCCTCGAAACAATCTGCCGCCCTCGCCTTCACGCCATATCACGTCCAACGCTCGCATGATTTGCGCGCTGGCCGTTGCACCGCGTACACATGATAAGGGAGCATAGAATACCTGCGGGCCCACGACCGGCAAACCAGTCCCCGACCAGACTGTATGCCAATTCCCATTCCCATTCCCATTTCCCCCTTTCAACCTCGCCCTCGCTTCTTCGTTGCTGTTCACGCCGCTTTGTTATGCCCTGGCCCATGCACCCCTGGGTGGATAACTACCTTACAGAGAGCTGACCCGATGATTGCTGCAGTAATAGGGGAATCCCAGACTCGCAAACCGACTCACCCTCAAAGGGCTCACTCGCCGGCGGTCCAATGCTCAGTGCATCTTCGGCCAACAACCACCCTCTTTTTTCTTTTGGACGGAATGGCGCCGCGAACGAAGTAGCAGACTCGACGCCTTCTTACGATTTTCTACCCTCGGTCAGCTTCGACGACCTCCAGAGCAGTCTCGAGTCGGCCTCCCACGACTTCAAATTGACTCAGTTTCCGAATCCGACCGGTCAAGGTGGTATTCTCGACTCGGAGAGCATGGCCGACAAGATGGGCGGGGTCTCAAACATATCCCAGAATGGCGCGTCTGCGCGTGGTGGAATCCCACCTCCCGTGACTCGCCCTGGAAGATCTGGTTCAATCTTGAGAAGACCTAGCACGTCCAGCAGACAGCCAAGCATCTCATCCATCGCTTCTGGACCTTCGTCCACTGCAGACGCGTCAACGGCCGCAGCGAGGTCTCGACGACAAAGCCACTACCCTCCAGTATCGAACACCAACATTGCGAAGCCACCTAGGAAATCCATCGGCCCGGGCGTCATTGAAACGGACTTTGGCAGTAACACTGCTCAACGTCGAAGACCGAGCCTGATGGGCACCGCCGGCAGTGGAACGGATTTCTCTCGGACCTCGATGGATGCCAGCGCTGGCATGGGGTTCGAGACTCCACGGAGTCTCGCCAACAGCAGAGCGACAAAAGCCAAATCAATGCACCAGCCACTACCCCGATCAAACACTGCCAACTTATCAACACCAGACAACACCCGCCTCTCAACAATATCTCCGAGATCCCCTCGAGGCGGCAGTAAAGGAACTAATAACGGTTCGGCCCAATCGAAAAGGCAGTCTATGATGCCCGGGGGACAGCATGCGTCACACGCAAGCGGACTTGGTGCCAGGACCATCAGTCCTACGGACACGCGAAGATTGAAGCGCATGTCCATGCACCAAACTCCGAGTCTCAACCAGGCGGCCAACGCGCCGCCACCACCGCCGCTCGAGCATCGAGAGCAATCTCGATCTCCATCAATGATACCCCGGAAGACATCTGCCACGCCATCGTCCTCCCGAACAACCCCGGACATCAACAGAAAATCCTACAGTTCCGGCCTTTCCATCACCTCAACCAACAGTTTCAATACAGTGAGAACATCCACAGGCTCAATTCAACCTCGAGCGCCTGTCGCAGGAAGTACTACATCGCGGCTACCGGCGCCAAAGTCGTCGAACCCGCATAATCATAACCCCCATTCCGCCGATGACGAGGAGGACGTCCCACCTGTACCTGCTATTCCGAAAGCGTACGAATCACCACAGCAGTCAGCCACGGAGGCATCGTTTTTGGACAAGCGCAAAGCCAACCTCGCAGCGGATGCTAGCAGCATTAACAGCAATTCAACTGGCAGCTTCTCCATACCATCCCTTCCCGAACCCGCTGTTAAGGTCGCCCGAAAGGCTAGTACCCGGAAGTCGACGAATGCGGCCCCCTTGGATGCCGAAAAGAAGGGGAACGCTCCTCAATCGAGAAAGAACCCTCCACCCGTGCGGCTGCCCCCGATTACTGTCGGCCCGCTGAATCCATCAACGACCGCGAAGATTGCAGCTTTGGGCCAAAATGGCCCCGACCGAAACCTGAGCCCCCCTCCCTCACGCATCATCGCCAAGACACCAACCACCCCCATGACCGCGTCGAAAAGCTCCTTCTTCTCAAGAAATAGGCACGACGACAAGTCTGATTTTCCCAATTTGCGAAGCAGCAGCACTGTGCACCACTCCCGAATTGATAGTGCATCAGGTGCTGACGGCACAAGCTCGTCCGAGTCTTTCGCGGGGGTCCCGATACCGGTACCTTATAAAGCGACTAGAAAGCCCAGCGTATCTCCGTTCCTGTCCTCCTCCGTGCCCAAGCCCGGCGCGGATCCTGCTTTCCTGAAGAGGTCACAGACAGGCGACCTTGGGAATATCACAGAGCCTCTCGAAGTGAAGCCACCGCAGAAGCCTTCTGGCCCCCGTGCCCAACGGCCTGTGAAAGCAAAGTCTCCCACGCCGCCAATCTCGGACCCGGAAGAACCACCTACTCCGTCTTCAATGAGCTCTTTGCGTAGGAAGTTGAGCTTGTCGTGGAAACGTAATACCTCCAAGACCGATTCGAAAGCTAGCACATCGGAAAAGACTGTCGAACGCAGTATTAGTAAGGAGCAGATGCCACCGCCGCGGTTGCCTATCTCCGCAACGGTCGGGAATCTCAGCTCAGCCAAGAACAGCCCAAGCCCGTCTGTCAAGGCGAACAACTCGTACCTCGAATCAAGGAGGAGAAAGAGCTCAGCAGCGAGCCTGGGCCATGATAGAACTAAGAGTGAAAACTGGACCTCGGCCTCCGTCCCCAAGACTGTCAACGACCCGCACAACCCTTCCGTCATGCAAAAGATTCTGCGCCCGAAGGCATCAGCAACCACCATGCGTCACCACGACCCGTGGACTGCTGAGCTCGATAAGGACGACCTAGTTGCCGAGGAAGAGATGAAGAAGATGGGCTCGAGAAGGAAAGAGACGGAGATTGCGGCTAGGACCCTCGACGCATTACGGAAACGTGCGACGCCAAAGGAACGAGTTGGTGCCCAGGAAGCTATTCGGATCGCTATGCTCAACATCTATGAGCGTGGTGAAATCGTTGACTATAACGACGTCTACTTTTGCGGCACGCAGAACGCTCGCAAGGTGGTGGGCGATCTTCAATCCGATGCCCCCAACTTTGGTTACGACGACGAACGTGGAGACTACACTATCGTACCGGGAGATCATCTTTCGTACCGGTATGAAATCATCGACGTACTTGGCAAGGGAAGTTTCGGTCAAGTCGTGCGGTGCATTGACCACAAGACGGGTGTACTCGTGGCTGTGAAGATTATTCGCAATAAGAAGAGGTTTCATCAGCAGGCTCTGGTAGAAGTAAACATTCTACAGAAGCTTCGCGAATGGGTAGGTGATTTCGGACGTGTATGCAGCGCTTTGGCTAATTTGGATTACAGGACCCCAAAAACCGACACAGCATGGTCAACTTTACTCACAGCTTCTACTTCCGGGGACATCTGTGCATTTCCACCGAACTTCTGGACATGAATCTCTACGAATTCATCAAAGCAAACGCTTTCCGCGGATTCTCACTCAAGCTCATTCGGCGAATGACGAAACAGATGTTGAGCTCCCTGAACCTGCTGAAGCAGCACAAGGTCATCCACTGCGATCTTAAGCCCGAAAACATTCTGCTTCGGCACCCACTGCACTCGGAGATCAAAGTCATCGACTTTGGATCTAGTTGTTTTGAGAATGAAAAGGTGTACACCTACATTCAGTCACGATTCTACCGATCACCCGAGGTCATCCTAGGCATGACGTATGGTATGCCCATCGACATGTGGAGTCTCGGATGCATCCTCGCTGAGCTTTATACGGGAGTCCCAATCTTCCCTGGAGAGAATGAGCAGGAGCAACTTGCCTGCATCATGGAGGTCTTTGGTCCACCAGAGAAGCATCTCATCGAGAAGAGCACCCGCAAGAAGCTCTTCTTCGACTCCATGGGCAAGCCGCGCCTGACCGTATCCTCCAAGGGCCGAAGGCGCCGCCCTAGTTCGAAGACACTGCAACAGGTCCTTAAGTGTGACGACGAAGCATTCCTGGACTTCCTGGCGAGATGTCTGAGATGGGACCCTGACAGGCGTCTCAAGCCTGAGGAAGCCATCCACCACGAGTTTATCAGCGGCAAGAAGATGTCTGCTCCTCTGCCCCGAGTTCCGACAGCACGTGAGGCATCACCGGTGAAGCGCCACACCGTCGGTGCGCCGCGACCTCTTCCCGAACCTCCCGCTTCCGGGCTCAAGAGCGGCATTCGATCCCGAGACGTTAGCGGCGCAAGCCCTCACAAGCCCGTGTCAACGGCATCATCTCGCAGGCCCTCTGTGGCGACTAGTGGAACGGTTCACGTTGCTACAGCCAAACGCACCAGCACAGGTCAGGGGGGTGTTACCATTGGCACTAGCAGTCTCCCACGCGCGGCAATTAGGAGCGTCAGCGCCAAACAAGACTTGGCTTCCGCCGGAGCCACTGCAGCCATGAGTCGGAGGGGTTTGTGAGCAGCGCCCTCTCAGTGACTCTGTGGTCGCCGCACATACAGAAGACGAATAGAAGGATCGAAGTGCTTGTTAGAGATGGTTTATGAGGCATTGGGTAGTTGATTGTTGTTTTTTATTCCCTCTCTGCGCTACATCCCTTACGAACAGCGAACATGTTCCTGCGCCATGACCACGTTTGAATGGAGTGACGCAATACCCAGCACGAAAAAAAAGTCACAACCGGGAGGAAAGGAGTCAAATTTAGGCATGGAAGGGCAGGTTTCTTCATGACGAGTGCGCAGTCGGGGTTTGCGGACTGAAAGCTCTGCTGTCACTCACAAACCGCATTGTTTTCTTTTCATCCCCGAACGTATCTCCGGTTCTACACATATATAAACACACAGAAGACGTGAGTCTAAGGTTTGCCGGTGTGGAGTAGTGATGGAGGAGTGGTAACGGCACGAGTTTTGATCCGCCGGCCCCGTGGCCGCGATGCGATAGGGCCAGATCCGGCCTGGTGTTTTGTGTGTTGTTGCCTACCACGACCAGCACGAGAGAGATAGAGACGTAGGCAAATATATGTATATTAATAATGACGAATGGTCCCCTTTGTATGGATGGACACTTGCACGGGATGAATTGTTGCTATATCGGCGGTGCTCTGTGACAAAGAGTTTATGAGAGGATGATGCGCAAAGGTGAAGAAGGGGGTTTCAGCGTAGGCTGTTCTTCTGTCTGGTATCTACGACCCGAACAATGAATGATTGAAGAAACTCCAGAAGCGAGACGACGTAAGTATGTCTCGTAGGCTACAGGAATGAGTTTACGAACAGAGCAAACAAATGTCACGATAGGGAGGTTGCCACGATGAAACGGAGAGGCGTGGTAGGGAAGGCAGTCCTACCTTGGTGGCACCTCGTAAAGGCAGGCAGGTAATGTTAGGCAAATTGGGATTGTGACTCTTGTTTGGCCCGGATTATCTTGGTATCTCGTGATGTGATGTCGACGTCTGGCTAGGGGTCCCGGGGGGTGAGGGAGGGATGGGGGTAAGGTAATAAGGTGGATGGACGGATATGAGCTTGGATGGGCAAACACTGTACTCCAGACGCCCTGGTAGGTTTAGCCAACGACCCATTGGGATTTCTTTTCCCGCGAGGCAGATGGTAGGGTCTACGAATGTAACGGGTGGTCGAGGCCTCCTTGGCCTTTTGGGGGGGAAAGGGACGAAATACAGACGCCACGACGTTTCTTTTCCCACGCCCTCGAGTCCCCAAGTACCGGACCCTGTGATTTTTTGGGGGCCAGAAAGCTTGCGCCATGCTGGCTTTGGGGGAGGGGGGGATGTTTCTAGGTAACAATGTTGGACTCCAAGGAACCTGACGACGAGTGGTTGAGAAGGATGGTCGGTTCGAAAATTGAGAGGGTAATTGGGATGTGCGCTGTGTCGTAAAGAGATACATATCGTAGGCAGCAGATGTCTACCAGCCTTCGTACTCAGGCATGGAGACGTCTTGGATCGTTCATCGTCTCCCAATGGGCATTGGCATTGACGGCTGCGAGGTGAGATAGCACTTGGCTTCGGGAGTATATCAGACCATGAGGGAGGACCCGGGATCCTTCATGACTCTTGACTCTGCCGTTTTAGATTCTTGGTGCTCCGCGGGACGAGGAGCGGTGGGGCGGTTAGGGAGCCGGGAGATTTCGTCTGGGATTTTGACTCAATGACTTCACTTCTCTGCAAGACCGAGCAATGGCTTGGGATCGTGGGTCTCTAGAGACAAAACGAACAAAAGAAAGAGCCTAGGCCATTCCAAGATCCCACAGTCTCCATGATCCCATGTTTCACATCCCGCGGTCCTGTTGACCGCAGAGGAATGAACACATTGAGACCCCCTACCTCATCCGTACTGCGGCAGGAAATGCGGCGGCACAGCGTCAAAAAGTCAAGGGCAAGGGCACAAGACAAGACCCTGGCGGAGCTGAAAGGCTGATGGGTTTCCCCCTGGCTGTGGAGCAAGTGCGCGCTTGCGGTGCGGCTGCGGTATTGCATTTCGGGGCCGTTCGGACGGGTGTTTGGCCGGGGGGTGTGCTTTTTCCTTTCGTGGGACTCAAGACAGCAGAAATGATTGAGAAAGAAAAAGAGCACGTCAAGAGCTGCTGTACGGTCCTGTACGCACACCGACAGCGGATGTGAAGGATTAATCCTGCCGAAACGACTCATCGGGAGGGAGTCCAGGCTCGCCGGCGGCAAGGCGGCTCTCTTTTTGACGACATTTGTGGGGGAGAATCGGGAAGCGCACAAGAATGCCTCGTAGGATTCACCACGCCTTTCTCATCGCGTATGTGACGAGTGTTTTTGGCCCCACGGATCCGCGCGGATGTTAATGATCGGCAAACCGTCAAAGCTTGGACAGTTTGCGAGCGCCGAGAATTCGATTGCCTGGAGGTTCCTGGAGCGGAGAATGGGATGGCTGGTTCCTTCTCCGAGCGCTTGTTACCTAGGCGTGGGGTCCTTGCCGAGGTCGAGACCACCCCTTTCGACATTGAGCCTCACATTTGCCACTTGATAGGACTTTGTTATTGCGAGACACTGTTGCAGCAAGGAGGACTTCGGTATCGACTCCCTTGGGGTAGGTAACACTCAATGCTGCCGCTGCATTGAGATATTCTAGTCGTACCGGTACGCCAGGACTTGAGAATTAGCTCAGCATATCTTCTTGATCGCCAGGGGCGTGTGGCCGCGGGAAGAGGCCAATGCTGGAGCTGAGACATGGGTGCGGGAACAGAGGAAAGCCACAGCACGGTTCGGGGACTTTTCTATTGGGGTGGGCCTGGTGACCACTGAGTCCTGACGGCAGTGAGGTTCAACCGTTCGTTTGCTCTGTAGTGGATGTGGCACGGGTCAGCCTGACAGGAAACACTAAACAGACCAAGTTAGGACGGCGCGGGAACCGTTGCAGGGAGCACACCGGCCGAGGCACGGATTTGGAAACGGGGTGTGGCTGGGGACGCCTTACTGTGGTTCAGCACAAGCCGGCGTCAAGTTCCACTGGCCCTGCTGCTGTTTCAACTGCGACGTGCAATCCTGGATCATGATCTATTGTCGCAATGCAAGACCGGACCAGTGGAGAGTAGGGAACAGTGAGAAACGGTTGCAGTTCCTCGTAATCCCTTCTTGACAACACGGCATAGGGTATCGCCAGCATAAACAACGCCGGGGAGCTCCATGTTCGATACACGCTTCTGGTGGGAGAGAAGTGCGGGTTTCCTAGTGTAGAATGATGCAGCATGATGCTGACGACGGTTTAGATAGGCGCGAATTAGGGTAACTCGTAAGATCCCCACGATCAGTGCATTTGCAGCGGATGATGAGCGGCGAGACTTCAGACCGACTAGACAGGCATCCGGGGAGCACGCATGCATTGTGCTTGTCTGTGTTTCAACAAGTGAGAAACCTGGGAGGAAATGACGGTATACTATGAGGTTTGAACGGCACGGCGGCAGTTGAACACGTCGAAGTGTGGACATGTCGAGCAGAATGCCCCACACAAGACCGACGGCGACTCCGGCCAAGACGTGGTGGGAGAGACGGGGCGGCGGCGTTGAGCGGTAGATAAAAGTGGATCAGAACTCTTGATCCCACCGTGATGGGAAGAGGCCCTTGTGGTTCAGTCGCGGTGGCTTGCTGACTGCGAGGCTGTGTCGAAGCTAAGTAGACAGGGGCCGTAACTCATCCATGGCGACGACGACGAGGGGTCGATCCCTGGATGACGTCCAGTGGCAGGTCGAGAAACATCGCTGGTTCGCTCACTGCCCAATCGCTTGCGCTCCTTGTGAGACAGCAAATCCTTGCTCCCAGTGAGGATCCCCCACAAAGTGAAATATGAATCGGCTCGACGAGGCTATTGCAATCTTGAAGCAGTCATAGCGAGATAGAGTCATTTGAGGTGCATGGTGATGGTCTGATTCTTTCCTTGGACTCGCTCGACGATTCTGCAGATACGCAAACGCGAAGACGTTGAGTATCCTGCAGGTTCGGGTATAGAGAAAGTGGCATCGGTCGTTATACTATCGAAGCTTTCGTCCGAGGCAATTACTCCGTACCGCTGCTTATAGAACAAGGTAGCAACACAACCTGGTCCGGCCATGAATGTTGGACGTGGTATTCGTACGGGGATGAGGGAATCAAGAGTGCTCTTCGATTGGCATAACCCCAACCGGCGGGGTTCCTACTGCTGCATCATCCACCTCTCCGCCCGGTCCCGCAGATGGGCCTCCCCGCCGGGCGCTCGGAGTGGCAAGCCACGGGATAGATATGGCATCGGACCGTTCTCCATCGGGCACCGAAAGACGCGCATTCGTGGTTGCGCGGCAATTCAACTGTTGAGGACGTTACGCCCGGGTCGCGACCCTTGACCGGGCGAGGGCATGTCTTGGTGAGCCGGATTTGGGGCGTTCGGTGAGCGCAGGCTGCTCTAGGCGACATTAGAATCTTTAGCCCTTGGGGGTGCTCTATGGGCTCGAGAGTCGAGAGTAATAGACTAGGACTTGGGGTTACACAAAGGCCTCGTAACGTCTTGGTGTATCTTATTTCTGGCATTTTGCGGTACTTCGTATGGTCTGCGGTAGTAGGCTGCAGGACTTTGACGCAGGTCTTGTATCGGGCCCGTCTTGCACGAGATGCATCGGCCCCAGTGCGACAGTGGAGCGCCTGTGTTGGTCATGCATCGAGCACCACAATGTCGTGAATTGCGAGGAATTTGTTGGTCGACTGCCCTGATGCTCCGCCAAACCCAATTGTGCGTCCTCATCTTTACGGATTCCTAGATCTGTCCCTGAAGCGCCTCAATCAACAGGTAGTCGAAGAACTATCTTCCCAAGGGCCACCAGTAGAGAAGAGTATCTAATTGAGTGATTGGAGGGGGGCGTGTTCGTGTGCTCTTTGGGCAAGCGTACGCTCTAATGAGCCGGTCCCTGAAACAAGGCATCGTGGAAGACGGCCATGTTTGACCGCGGACCGT